GCAGTGACACTTCCTAATCTCAGCAGCACCATCCAGACACAGTTTGTGTGTTAATGTGCCGTGTAAATCCCGGGGTGCCAGCGAGAGAACATCTCAGAACACAGCATTGTGATAATTCATTAGAAGTTATTAGTGCTTTCTGTGGCTTGCTTGCTTATCAAGCGCTGTCGTGTTACCTTTCGACATAACAGATTGTCTCTGTGTTAATTGAGTGATATAACAGAAAATGCAGCAAAGGAAGGAGCTCGGAGGCTGCCACTGTACATGAGCTGTAAATAATAAAAAGTTGTTAAGGACAAATTATCAGAACATCTCCCTATTATACTTAATAAAGAAACAACAAATTGCTGGATGGCTGGGAAAAATAATGGTTCGAACAATAGACAGTCTCATTTCTCTTTCCAACTGTGCAGAAATTAAATGTCAACTACAACCACTTATTCTTCATTTCTGCTTCTATGTACCATACTTTTTCTTGTCAGGCTCCTTAACTGAAAGTGAAACAAGAGGGGACAAAACCAACCTCATTTCAGAGAAGCCTACAATGCATTTGAAATGCTGCAATGTACCCTGTGAAACTCATGAGTGCTCTTTGTAATGAGAAAAGTTTCTGTGCAGGACAGACTTTTTCTGCTGTGCGAGAACATCTCTCCTTTGTGTTATAAAATAGAAATTAAGTGCTTTTGTTTTCATGGTTACGACTTGAGGTGATGATTGTATTGCGCAGGCTGAAGTGGTCTCCTATCAAATATACCTGGATATAAGCAGCGCATTTGTTTCACCTTATTTGATTATTCCAACATGAGGTATGTTTAAAATGCTTGGAAACTAAAGGTAGGTGGAAAATGCAGCAGCAGGAAAATCAATTCACAGAAGCACTAATGAAGCAATTAGCAGTAGATCGAAGGAGCAGGGAGGCAGACCCGTAACTTCTTGGTTCAGCTCAGCTTCGGCTGGAGCATTTCTGATTCATCTCTGGCTCAGTCTAACAACACTTGACAATGGTACAGTGTATCCAGCAGTCTGAATGGGTGCTTCATCCAGGTTTGATTAATTCCCTCAAATGACAAAACTCAAAAGTTATCTACAAATTGTTCCTTCTTTTGTGCAGTCCAGAAGAGGATTTGCTCTCGATGCTCAATGTGGGAAACTAAAGGAAGGAATCTCTGCTCCAAGAACCCAAACTCCCAGTGCAAATGCATCTTGGTGCCGCCCCCAAACCAGTGGTGGGCATGGGATTCTCAGGAAGGGACAACATGGGAGGGAGGATGGCATTAACCACATATATCCAGCTGCTGGGTGAGCCACGAGCAGGTTTTTAGTGGAGGTTTGCTACGTGCGACAGGAGTTCTGTTCTGCTCTGTTGTCATTGCAAACACAGAGGTCAGCATGAGGGCTGGATGTAAATGAAGACTTGAGAGGAATGGACCTGCTGAGTGAAAGCTGTACAGGGTTCCCCGTTGGTGGCAAGGACAGGATTCCACCTGGACACAGCCACCAATGGCACCAGGTGATGCCATTGTCCTCTGCTCTCTTGAGTTGGTACAGGTCTGTGTGACCATCCCAGGCTGTCCCAAATGCTCTGAGCTGAGCCACCAGCAGCACCATGCCAGAAGGACTGGCTGAACGACTGATGTCCTTGCTCCCAGCATTTCATTGAAAACTCAAAGGCAACCACTGGAAGGAGCAAGGAGGAAGATGCCAAAATCCAGTACTGGCAATAACTCATCAAAACCCACAGTTCTAAAGAAGAATTTCAAGCTGACAGCTTGATACTTATTTACTTGAAATTGCCTGCTGAGTCCTGCTGGAAATTGGATAATTCTACTTGTTTAGTGTGGATGCGTACAACACATGGTTTTATTTTTAATATAACAAAATCCTTTCTTTTTTAGCCATTGGGGGCTCCACTTGGATACTCCGTCAGGATAACCTGAGGAAGTTTTTGCATCCTCTGTGTGAGCAGAGGGGCAGCCATTGCCTGTTAAGTTGGCCAGGACACGTGTGTGGCCAAATGTGATGTTGGCTTGGGCACAGATGCAGAAAAACCTAAGCAGGAAGGAACCATGTGCCCACTGCAAATCTGGCAGAGGACATGTGCTACTTGGTTTTGTTTCTGCTTAGACTGGGATCAGAGTGAGTTCAAAGCAGAGATGTGTGGGCACGTGTTTTGTGCCAAGTGAGTATGAAGGCACTCCTGAAACTTAGCTAGTGAGCACTGAGCTTTCTGCTGCAAAGTAAAACATGCAGGCTCTGAGTGCGCAGCTGAGTGGGGATTCTGGAGATGGCTGTCTGATTAATTAAACTGGCCAAGAGTAAGAAGGAAGCACAGAAGGCTATGGATGAAGGCTTAGATGAAGCCCAGTTTATCTCCTCTGGAGGCTCACAGGAACACCAAAGATCCCATCTCTGTGTCCAAGCCTAACTTCTACAGCAGGTGGAACATGTTCTCCAAACCAAGAGTGAAAGGTAGCAAAGAGACTTTGTTATAATGCAAGGAAAAGCACTGATTGAATATGTTTCACTGACTGGATCTGAGTGATGCATTTACTTCTAAAGACTTTTTGCTAAGGAAGTAGAGAAATATTTTGGAATGTGTTCTTCGGGTTTGGTTCCAACTTTGGTTTACAGACTTTGCCACCTGTTTCTGAGTGTAAAATACTTAGTACTTAGAAACTGACAGCTGTTTTTTCCAGTGGGCTTTTAAGAAACAGAGGTTGATGCACTTCTGTGGATATGCATGTGTGCCTTTACATTTGCTTTTTCTTTGTTGATATCTACAAACTGTAACTTATGCATGGAGGTCTCAAAAATATTTAATTCTGGCTAGATTGTGAATAGGCTGACTCTCCTAAGCCCTCAGACTCCTTCAAACATCCACCAAACTGCTTAATCACAGGACATGTCCATAAAGAAGCAGGCTTCTTCCTGGGTCCCTTCTCATACAACTAATTTTGTGACTTTGCAAAAGGCATTACATAATCGGTGTGAGAATGTGTCACTGACAGGATACTAACTTCAAGTCAATTATTAACTCATTGCTGTACAAAGGGACAATGCCATCAGAAGAGAGAAAGCCACAGACAGAAATGAGTCCAAGGAACAAAACTATTCTCCATGTGAATGGTGGGTAAAGCCAGGCAAGTAGTGCAGATGCTGAGTGTCTCTAACCAGAGCAATATTTAACTGAGTTCTGCTTAGTTTTATGGAGTGGATTAATCTATCCCACATTTTCTGCTACTTTGCTGGCTATAATTTGTATTATACTGAAATACAATTCAGTGCTTCTCTGTAGCTTCCAGCCTCTTGATGCCAATTACAGCCCCCATGCAAGGTGTAATGAGTCCTGCTGACAAAACCAAACCTGGCACTGCTGTCAGTAGGCTGGTGGTAGTGTTCATACTTCAGCCTGGTGGGAGAAATACATTTCTGAAGTAGCGAAGGGGTACAGAGAAGTCCTGAGAGCCTGGATAGGTCTTGCTTCTTTACACTGGCCACGATGTATGTGCATCAGCTTCCCCAACTTCCATCTGTAATGGAAACTGCTTATAGGAAGCAGAATATATTTCCATTTTACAGGAGGATCTGTGATAAAGTGATAAAGGATATGTGCAGCCATGCTGGGTTTTGGTAACTCAGCACAGAACTGGCGACCTACGAGGGACTGCTCCTGTTCAGCTCTGCAGGCAGCAGGAGTGGCAAAAGTACAGTTAGAAATGTATACAGGTGTGTGGGTGTGTGGATCTAGTTGACATGCTAGAAGGAAGGGATGCCATCCAGAGAGACCTGGACATCCTTGAGAGGTGGGCCTATGCCAACGTCATGGAATTCCACAAGGCCAAGTGCAAGGTCCTGCACCTGGGTTACGGCAATCCCAAGCATAAATACATGCTGGGCAGAGAATGGCATGAGAGCAGCCCTAAGGAGAAGGATTTGGGGGGTGTTGGTTAATGAAAGATTCAACATAAATTGGCAATGTGTGCTTGCAGCCCAGAAAATCAACAATGTCCTGGGTTGCACCAAGAAAAATGTGTCCAGCAGGTCGAGGGAGGTGATTCTGCCCCTCTGCTCTGCTCTTGTGGGACCCCACCTGGAGTACTGCGTCCAGTTCTGGGACCCCAACACAAGAACATGGAGCCGTTGGAGTGGTCCCGAGGTGGGCCACAGAGATGATGAGAGGGCTGGACCACCTCCCCTACAAGAACAGGCTGAGAGAGCTGGTGCTCTTCAGCCTGGAGAAGAGAAGGCTGTGAGGAGACCTTATAGCAACCTTCCAGTACCTGAAGGGGCCTGCAGGGAAGTTTTTACAATGGCAGGTAGTGATAGTATGAGGGGAAATGGCTTTAAACTGGAAGAGGGCGGAATTAGGCTAGATATTAGGAATCAATTCCTCACTGAGGGGGATGAGACATTGGAGCATGTTGCGAGGCTATGGATGTCCCCTCCGTGGAGGTGCTCAGTGCCAGGCTGGGTGGGCTGTGAGCAGCCTGCTCTATGGGGAGGTGTCCCTGCCTGCAGCAAGGGTTTGGAACTGAATGGTCTTAAAGGTCCCTTCCAAACCAAACCATTCTATGATTCTATGAAGTACTGATCGATACAGATCTCCCTATAGATACCGTGGATGTGTGACAGAGACAGATATCCACAGATACTAGCACCGACGCCAGCACCGGAACATGCTGTATACACAGATACTGCAGATACCTATCTAGAACACAGATAGCCATAGATAACGCAGAGGACAGGTTTGCATCCGCTGTGTACGCGGACAGGGAGAGGCAGGCGCCTATGTCCGTAGCTGTGTACAGCCACCTCCAGGAGCCCCGCCGTCCCGGGGCCGCCAGCCGGCAGAGCGGAGCCACCCAGAGGCGGGGCAGAGCCGGGGCCGGGCCGGGCGGAGCGGCGCCTCGCGCCGTTGTTTGTCCCTGCGCTGCCCCCATAGCGGCCGGGGCAGGGCGGCGCGGGGGCGGGTCTCCATAGCGACATGGCCTAGGCCGGGCTCTGCGCTCGGTCCCGGCGGGACGAGGCCGGGCCGCGCCGCGCCATGGCCTCTGTAAAGGTGGCCGTGCGGGTGCGGCCCATGAACCGGCGGTGAGTGCCGGGCGCCGCGGGGCTGCCGGTAGCGGTGTGGGCTGGGAGGGCGGTGCGAGGAACTTTGGGGCGCTTCTCGGCGGACGGCTGCAACTTCGGGAGGGGAAACGGCTGGGCGGGCCGGAGCGCCGCGGGGCTCCATTCGGCGGGGTCCGATCGCGTGAGAGACGAGCGTTGTGTCGGGCAGCCGGAGTCCAGCGGCTGAGCTGAGCTGTGCGGGTCCGCGTGCGATCTTGTCATCGACACCCCTCGTTGTTAAACGTGGTTCGGCTCTGCCTTTAACGCCGTCCTACTTATCAATCTCTAACGTTACCCCTGGGCTCAGGTCGCACCAGGGGACGTTCGGGTTGGATAGCAGGAAGAATTCCTTCTCTGGAAGAGCGGGTGAGGCAGTGGCACAGGCTGCACGTGGAGCACGGTCACTGTCCATGAACAGTTTCAGTTCCAGAAACACGTAGGTGTGGTGCTGAGGGACATGGCTTAGTGGGGAACACTTGGACTAAATGGGCTTGGAGTTCTTTTCCAGCCTTGGTGATCACAGAATCGCAGAATCACCAAGGTTGGAAAAGACCTTCAAGATCATCTAGTCCAATCATCCACCTATCACCAGTAGTACTCACTAAATCCTCACTAGATCCCATGGTTCTGTATGCATTTCAGCCTCCAACAACAGGCAGCGTAGGACTTCAAAGTGTTGGTAAGTGTGGAGAGGTTTGTGCTGAAGCTGTGATGTGCTCAGAGGTAAAAAAAAGAGAGGAGAGTGCGTGGCAGCAAACAGGGTGGCTGTGACAGGGGGTGAAAACAACTAATAAGCCAGAGGTGGAAGTCACCCAGCTAAAGGTCATCTAGACCAACTCCCTTGCAGTGAGCGGGGACACCTACAGCTAGATCATGCGCTGCTATAAGCTGAGGATCCCCCTGTTCTTCCTTCAGAAGTATTGCAAACTGTAAGGACCAGCAGTCTTATTTTTCCTTATACTGGTCTCCCTTGTCTTCTCTTAGCCATGCTTATCTTTATGGGTTATTGCTGTGAGTGCTGCAGTATTTTTTAGACAGAGGGCCTTTATATGAGCTGAAAGGGACTTTCCAGTTGGGTGTTCGCTCTGCAGCACTTGTTGCCGAAGTTTTTAACGTGCTGTTGTGGAGAGTTAAATTTAATCTCATGTGTGCCTGTAAATGTGCTATGGTTTGTTCTGAGCTTAGTCATACAATGCAACTTATGTCATGAGTCATTTTTAATTAGAGAAGACAGTGTTAATGAATAGTTATTGGGAAACTCCTGCATTATGGAGCAGTTACACTGTATGGTGTAATAGTACTGCTAATGGTGTAATAAGTCATGAACACGGGCCTTGGAATGAATCGTGTGACAGGGAGGGGTTTGTTTTCAGATTGCATGCTGTGCCATTGCTTAGTTGACAGGCTTTGGTTTCGATTTTGATATTCCTTTTTTTCCTCTCCCTTCTGCTGTGATTTCGTTTTGCTGTTCTTTTTCACTGGCTTGATCTGAAAGGAGTTTGATCATTTCAGTGCTATTGTCAAAGCCCTCGACTATTCTTCTGGAAGTTAACATCCCAAATCCATTTTGCAGAGGCTGTATCTCTGGATAACATAATAAAAGTGATATCTAATGACTTTATAGTCACTATTTTGAAATCAGTTGTGAGCTTGAGCTTGAAGGTTCAATTACGTAATAATTATTTACTCTTTGCTTTCCCTAATTCAATACAAAATTGCAATGACATTTGTCCTTATATTTGCAAAATGGCTCAAAGCCTGTCAGCTGGCAGAAGAGTAGGTGTTCTTCATAGAGTAGAAGTTTGCGTGGAGCTCAGTTTAGGTGGTTGATGCATTTTGGCTCTCGCTAGTTTTGATTACTGTTAATCGAAAGGTTCGTTTTCTAAAACAATCATTAGAAACATTAAACTGTTGACTTGTAATTTGGAGGGCTTGACTGGAGGATCCCATACATTTCCTCTCAGAACACAGCTTCTCATCAAGATCCTTTCAGAATGTCCAGTAGCTGGACAGAATGATGAGATTACAGAGAGATGTGATAGTCCTCAAGGCACGCTGCTGCTGGCATACAGGGCTGCCTTCACTGGGCTGCTGGTGGCTACTCACTGCCTGCTTAATGGCTGGGCCTTGGGGTCCTGTTAAGTTGAGCCCAATTCCAGCTCTTGTTATGTGCTGTATCTGCACAGTTCACGAATCCATTTGCTTCTAATTATTATTCCTCCTTGATTTCCTGCTCTGATAGCTCTACGCTATTTGGTTTTAGTTCAGGAAGTCATAGAGGAACACGAGGTCTTTATGATTTTGAACCTTTTACTTCTGTTTCTTGTATTTGTATTCAATATATTCCATTTTGTTATTGAATGTAATTAGTTGGATATGCGAGGGGAGGATCATATGCAGTCTTTACCTGCAGAAGGTGCAGCTGGCATCAAAATATGCATTAGCCCTGCAGTAAATTCTTCTTCCTATGTGTTTACCAATTGCTTTTCATATTTTAAATCTTGATCAGCACCTTGGGAAATCTAGAACCAACATTATGCTGCCTTTTAAAAATAACTACTTGCACAATCCATGCCTTAGTATCTGTAGCAGAGTTTTCAACAGCTCAAATTAATCTAGCAATGCAAAGGGCAGAGGTATAAAATAAGCTGCTTTGTTTCACGTGAAACTTGTGACTGGAGTGTTTTTAGCTGCAGCCGCAGTAAACAAGAGACAGTGAAGAGCCAGCTGGAACCTTCATTTCCTTGATGTTTACAAGTCATCCACACAGGAGATGATGGGGCCTGTGAAACTTCTTAGCTATCTATGCTTGTTTGAGTTGAGATGCAAAAGATGGAACGTTTTGACAAAATACCTGCTATCAGTGTAACATAGGGGAAGTGAGACAAGGTGAAGTGATAATGAGGAAGGACACAAGCTGAAAGACCTGTGAGGGGAGGTGAGGCTGTGGTGTGCCCAGGGAGGTTGTACTGTGTCTCACCTCATTCTTTATAAGGGGAGAGACTGAATCCAATGTGAATCTACTTGAATGCTGACTTGGAAAGGTGAACTAACTGTTCTGAATATGACTTTTTCACTTTGCCATTTTTCATGTCCAAAACCTTGAACCCATTTAATGACCCTTTAGCAGATTTTTCCTTTGGGAAAATTGTCTGATTTGATGCAGTTTTTCTCCCATAAAATAAGCTCTGGATGTATGTATCAGTGCATATGTACGTTATCATCACTGTGCTATTTCCAGTGTTGGTATTGGATCAGTGCATAAAGATTTGGGTTCAGATCTGTGTTCTTGGATCATGTGAAGTTCATGCTAAGAGGAATGGAGCTTCAAAATAACAGGTCTTGGTCTTGTGTGGGATGCAAATTGATGTTTTTATTTGCTGTTTGCTATTTCTTCTTGTCAAGAGGTGCAACCAGTAAAAAGAGCTTTATTCTGCAACTTGGTTACACTCAAGTTTTCTGAATTGTAATGAGTGAAAGAGGGAAAGGAGCATCAGCATGACAGTGTGCACATCATCTGTCCTTAATCACTACCCTTTAGCTGACCCAAGAGAAGATGCACTTAGCAGATGGTTATGGTTGGCAATGACATGATGATACCCTGTGGGTGTGCCAGCTTCCTACCTAAGGTTAACGTGGTGGGAAGGTGTCACTATGTAGCAGTTGCTGAAGAACACAAGCATCTGTAATTATGTAAGAATGCCATGAAAGATTGTAGAGGCCTCAGCGATGGTAGTTTGGGACTGTTACTGCGGTCTGTAGTTTTGGAATGCTGAGCTAACCATGTGAGCTGGGAAACAGAGGTGCTGTGTTTTGTGAGTCCTTTCAGATGGCATGTAGAGGAGTCAGGTCTGAGAAAGGGGTGCAGTAAGATGTGTCAGAAGGCTGCAAGCAGACCATGGGAAAACTGAGGAAGGGCTGGAGGACTTGCTGTTAAAGCAAATGAGGAAGAAACCACAGTAGAGCACAATGGGCTGACAGAGAAGTCTAGGTTATCAGTGACAAGAAGGAGGGGACAGAATTCTTATGAGCAGTGGAGTAGCATGGGGTATGGTTGTGTTTTCAGGGTTTTCTTGCTTAAGGCAAGTAAATATTAGATATTTGGTCTAGTACCAGATTTGGAGGTTGGTGGCCCTGCCTGTGGCAGGGAGGGTTGGAGTGTGATGATCTCTGGGGTGCCTACCAACCCAAGCCATTCTGTGGTTCTATAATATGGAGTCCAGTCCTGTCTGGGTGGGAATGGAAGAAGCAGTGGCCATGATTGTGAGAAGTTTTAATGCCAAAGTTATCTTCACAGTATGCTGAGAACTTTGCAAGCCTAAAAGTGAAGATCTCTTTTCAGTGATTTAAATGACAAATGGTTGAGTGATGTGTCAGAGAAGTGATAAAGTGTGGTATTGGATGGCTGTGTGAAGGAGTGGGCTCTGATGAGTCCATGGCTTTAGCTAAGATAGGAAGTGAAGGCCAAAGAGAGAAGTGAACACCAGGGATGATTGTTGGCTGGGAACTGGGATGCTGCAGGTCAAGATATTCTAGAAAAACTAGTTGGACTCTCTTAAGGCCTTTCCGCAATAGAAAATGTCAGCAGTGCAGAAGCAAACCAAAGCTTTGGTGTTCAAGCAGTAAAGACTGCCAGCGTTCTCCGGTGTTGTTTCTTCAAAACTTCTCACCTGTATTAAAGTACATAGTTTTTGAACATCAGTGGCTTGTGCCTTGCTTCTCTCTTTTATTTCTGCACCTTTTTCCTCTGTGGTTAATTATTGAAGTTTTTCAGCTTAGAGGAGTTGAATTTGAGCTTGTGAGTGTGGTGTGATCACAGCTCAGCTCCTGCTCGCAAATACATCACACAGCCAAACAGAAGCTGCCTTCTGTGCTTCTCCTGATGAGCCCCCGTGTCGGTACCTTCTTAAGCTCTTTTTCTGGAACCTCATTATCTGAATATGCTTGGGAAAGATCAACAAAAATGATTGGAATCATTAATT